TATTTTCTAGACGAAGTGGGGGCTTGACCTGCGAGTTAGTCCCGGTCGTCATTTCTATGTAAATTTATGGTTGTAAAATTAATTCAACCGCCTGTGAGCGGGAAAGTTTAATGTATATACGATCGATGATTGCTCGACCGTTTGTATGCGGCGGCCCGATCGGTTATTTTCTTTCACCCTCGTTACATGCAGATCAATTCAACATTCAATCAATCGGGCGAAGTCTATCGACCGGTCAAAACGCGCTCCATATAGGCGGACACTCAAGTCACGCCGCTGATCGGGGAAGCCAAGAGCTCTCAGCATTATTCCCCGATCCGTCTAACTTCTGTCCACTATCGCACCCACTCGTGCCTCGAGCGCACAATAGTGTGGGGGCTGGGATAAGGAAGTATTTGCCGGCCCGTTGCTCGGTTATATTCCGACCGTAGAGGCTTGCTCATTTTCAAGAATTTTTTCGACAAAGGCCCGGAGATCGGGCAAACCCGATCGGTTGGCCAGTTTTGACGTCGAAATATCGATCGCACGACCAGGCCATAAGGTCGTAAGGTCGGGCGTTGAGTGGATCGAGTACAGCAAGACCGGGTCTTGAGGCCAGGCGGTCGAGCAATTATGATCGGTGTGTGCAGATTAAAAATAAAAGGAAACAGAGAACGAGCGATACAAGTGGACAAAAAATTAAATTATTAATTGGCAAAAGGTGCCCGGTACAAATCGGGACCGGGCTCCCGATCAATGTTCCTTACAAAAAGAAGAGGAGACAGCCTAGCCTATTTTTTCGTCTCCTGAGCTCCAACAGCCGCCTCCTTCCCGCTTGAGGTGACCGTCGTTGGTGCCCCGGGCTCAGACGCCTTGGCTTTTGGGGCGAAGGGGGAGGGACCGGGATCGGCTAGGTCTGGGGGCAATGCCGAGAGGACCAGCTGAAGATCTTCCCCGTCCAGAGCCTGCTCCAACCGGGAACGGACTCGTTCAAGCATCTTCCGTTTCCCGGCCGTAAAGCCCCAGCGACTGAACGAGACGATCAGCTCTTCCCCGATCTCTGTTCCCCGGGCTGCTGTGAGGAAGGCCGAGCCCAAGTCCTTGTCTTTGAAGGCTGCCCGCGCCAGCTCGCTCGGATTCTCGAGCTGAGCCTTCAGCTCCTTGGCTTCTCCGATCGCCCGGCTGGCGACCTTCTCGGCAAGAACCCGCTCCTCGTCGCCCTTCTTCAGGGCCTTCTGGGTCTTCTCCAGCTCGGCTTGGAGGTCCTTGATCTCCTTCAAGCGACGGGCGGCCGTCTTCTTGTGGTGATCAGCTTCCTCGGCCAGCATGGCTCGACCTTGTAGGAGCTGGGCGGCCCGGGAAATTTGCAATACAAAAGACGTTCGGGTTAGCCCGATCGAAAACACTTGAGCAAGAAAGCTGTTAGTTGAGAAAAGTTTACCTCGGCCAGGTCGTGGCCGATCCGCTCGGCCACTTGGGTCGGGGTCATCTTCCCCAGATCCTCCTTGGCTGGCGCGGCGTTGCCGATCCGGGCCAGCATGGACGCAGAGTCCCTTTCTCTGTCGACCGAAGGGCTCGGGCTGCGCTGCTCACGGCGGCGCTTCAGGCTGCCCACCTCGGTCGCGCCCTGGTCGGCGACCTTCTCCTTGCCCCGGGCGACCTCTACCCGGGTGACCAAGACGTCAGGCTGCTCGACGATGAAGCCCTCGCCCGTCGTCACGGTCGAGGCGCTCAGGGGTCGGGCAGAGGGAATCTCCTTTTCCCCGGCCGCCTTGGTCTTTGTCTTCTTCTTCCCGCCGAGGGAGATCTTGGCGGGCGGGGGAAGGGCGGTGTCTTCATCACCGAATTCGGCCATAGCTACAAAAAGGGAAACTGTCAGTTTGATCGAGATGTTAAGCTAGGTCGGGAGAATCAGCTCGAGCTAAACCTTTCTTCTTTCGTTTCGACGGCTTGGCGAGCGTCACGCCCATCGGCACGGGCAGATACTTCTCCCTTAGCTCGTACGTGGGGGGCGGGAGCTTGGCGGCTGCGAGACTCTCGGCTGTCCGGAAGATGGAATACTCGTGTATTTCACTCGAGATCCGAGTGACCGTCTCCTTGAGCGCCTGAGTCACGGCCGGCACCACTTGCTTTCTGAAGTGACTGCTCCAAGTGCGATCGACCGGGAGGATCCAGGGGTCGTATTTGATGGAGAAAATTCTGTTCTTCCACCCCTTGTTCCCGGGCAGGCCTTTGATGGCGCACATATCTGCCCGGGATTGCAGCATCAGGAACCCGCCCCCGTAGCGGCCCGGGAGAACCTTGATCTGGTAGATGAAGTTGAACAACTCCATCGTGCACTCGGCCTCGTGCCGAGTGCATATCTGCGGAAAGCAGGCGAGGATCCGGTGGGCATTCGGGCAGATTTGAGCCGGAACGACCCGATAGTACGCTAGAAAGGCCGTCAAGAGGGCCGGGAAGGGAATGGCAATCGGGGCCATTAGGGAGTCGTAATGCATCCCGATCCACTTGCCCCGATGCCTGTCAATTACGTTCCCCAGCTGCCGGCTCGTGTCGAATTCTACCCGACCCCGGAGTACTTCAGCAATCCGAGCTGCTTCGCCTTTGGTCAGCAGGCTCATTTCTTGCTCGACACTCTCACTGTTCAAGAATTCGAGCTCGACGGCTGGTGTGGCCGGCCCGGCCGGGTCTTCTTCGGTCTGCTCGGGGGTATTTTCCCGATCACCCCCTCGAGGAGCAGCTTCCGGGTAGTCCCCAACCACCCGGGTAGGCGTTTCCCTAACGCCCTCGGTCGGAGAACCCCGCCCGCTTGACGTGGTTCTCTCTTCCTCTTCTTCGCTGGAGCTCCCCGATCCGCTGGAGCTAGAGCTCGACGTCCCGGAGGAGCTTGAGGTGTTGTTATGCTCGACGGCTCGTTCAGGGGCTGGCGTTGCTCGGGGGCTGGCTTCGGGAGTGCAGGACATAATGTCCACTTCCTCGTCGCTGATATGCTCGACCTCCTCATCATAATCCGCGATCGAGGCGTTTTGACTGTCAGAGTCCGTCATTTCGATCTACCTAACGGTCGGTCGGGGTTAGTAAAGGACTTGAGACGTCCGGGACAGTTAGTTGACCTAGCGTTCTACCTATAGTTGAAAGCCTAAAGTAAAGAAGAAGGATTAAGAGCTTACCGAGTGGAGGGAGATTGAAGCTTGAAGTTCGAAGTTTGCTTGCTCGACTGCCGTGCTAAGGTGCTCTGCTCGAGACTCTCCGAGGGTACCGATTGATGCGCAAGAGTGAGGAAAGTTCAAAGGTGGGCCTCAAAGGCCTATTTATAGGAGAGCATTTAGGCGGGAAAATGAATCCACTTGCGTGACACGACTGGCGCTGAATCCGAGGCGACGGTTGCAGTCGCAGAGGCCGGCAGTGGCCGACACGTGGCGAGGAGGGGAATGACAGCTGGCCGGTCGGTCTAATGCCTGACGGTTGGGCTTTTTCATCCCGTCCCGTTTTTTCCCGACTGATCAAAAAGGCCCGGGCTGGGGGGCTTTTGGTAGGGAATATCCTGACCGACATAAGCTCCGCCACGACCGACTTGCCTTTGTCTTTCTCTTTTGATCCTTGCAGGTAGCAGGTCGGGCTTTTTTCATAGAGATCCCGGTCGGGAACGGCCGGAAGTTGCCCGAACGCTGGTGTCGACCACCGAGCGGTAGCCCTTCGACGAAAGAGCTGGCACAAGGACGCGAAAGGACGCGTGGCGGCTCTTCATGGCGACAGACAGGGCACCCGGGAGGATGACACGTGGTGGCTACGTGGAAGACATGCCGAGCACCCGGAATCTTGTCCCCGGCACAGCGGCTATAAATGCCCACGGTAGCTACAGTGTAGAGGACTTTTGGACGATCGATAGATCGATAGGTTGTTGTTAGAGAATCCCGACCGCACTCAGTCGGCACTCAGAGCAACCAAGTAGATTGTACTTAGGGCCTTTACCGTGATCAATAAAGATTTTACTTGCTCTAATTGGTCTCGTGTTATTTTATATTGCTTACATAGAATTAGCAGTATCAATATATTTTCACCCAAGTAACCTGTCCTGTTGGATTGAAGGTGTTAGCTCTAGATGAAGATGAACAAGATTGTGTTGCCACTACCAATGTCGTCTAGAAAGCAGTTTCAATAATGTGTAAATATAATCGGTGATGTTAAGTTTTTTTTTTTTTTTAAATGAAAAAATTGGTATATATCTAGACAAAAAAAAATATCTTCCATACAAATGAATAAAGATAGAAATTCATTTCTATAACTGAGCTGTTAGAGTACGAGCACATTTGCCTAATTTATGAAAATACTAAACAATGATAAATAAAATCTTTAAAGTTATAGCACCGCATGCGTACATCTAGACATTAGCTATTAATTTGAGCAATTATTTACACAAATTCAAGAAATGATATCATCAAAATATATAAATGATCTAAACCATATCTTTAATTGCACTATATAATATTTGATGTTCTAATTTAAATAATTATATATAAATTCATATATTCTTAACAAATCCATTCCGTGCATCGCACGGGGACAAATACTAGTTAACTATAAAAAGATTATTTAAAATAACAACAAAAATAATGTTTATCACGGTCCCCGCCACACCACCCCCTACTTTTTCTTTTTTGTTCTTAAACAGAAATATAAACATACAAATATATATATATATGGCAGATTGGCATATATAGAAGAGTATAAAAAAAATATATATACATACAAGATACTTCACATATTTCCAGTGAAGAGTAAATGGACAATCAAATACAAAAGACAAAGAAAAAAGGTTCAGTTCATCTCAATTAAGTTTCCAGGCAATCCTTTCGCCGAATTCATTTCATCTCAATCAATTCCAACATATTGAGGATGAAAATTGTCACCAACTGATTCAAATCAATTTATCCTAAACTTAATTGACGAATCAAGAGTCAAAATATGCATCTGATTTTGACTATTGTGAAACCTAGGTTCAAATCCATTAACACGTGTACCTTAACTTCCTCCACTTCACTTCGGCCTTCAGTTAACACTATCCTCTCAGCCAAAATAAATGGCAGATTGGCAAAGGGGCAGCTGCGCGGCGGTCTGTAGAGCTCCGGTTGCTGGTTCACGGTGCACGGCAGCAGCGGTCTGTGGAGCAAACAGTCGTTGGTTCACTGCGGTCGGCGGCGGCGACCTCTGGTTCGCGGTCGCCTGTACTCTGCAGGCAACGAACGGCAGATTGGGAAGAAACCAAGAAGGAGAGAGTGAGATGCGAGAGTTATAGATTTATAATCTATAGAGCTAATAAATAGAATAAATATATAAAAGAAAAATTAGGGGAATAAAACGAACCTGGAGAGATAAGAAGTGATCGGCGATACGGAGCCAGAAGAAAAAACAAGGCAGTGAGGGCCAAGAAGATGGGAGAGAAGAAGGCGTCTGGATGGAAGTGATTATTATACTAGATTCCTAAGTTTTTCAAAGATAGATTAAAATGACGAGAGAATCAAGTCCTTTGTTAAGCACAGTGATCGAAGAGTATGTTGTGAACTGGAGAGAGCTTAAACGCGGATCGGAAATGGCGTTGGAATGCCGGAGAGAATCTCCGGGAAGGCCGGAAGCGGTACCTCCGGTATGCCAAAAGCTTTCACGCACAGCGCAAATGAATGAAAGATGGATAGGGACAAAAGTGACATTTTCACAAAACGGTGAGGTTAAAATCGTAAATATCCCAGTCAACTATTGTTTTCTCCCGAATCCGGGAATTCTCAATACCTACGTCATCCTCTTTTCTGTCTCGCGAATCCAAGAGAGCTATGAGACTGCTGGAAGCAATTGTGGCGGCGCTTCCGCCGTCTTCCTCCACCCCTGATGCTGCCGGAGACGGAGGCGGCAGCGGAGGAAAGTGGTTTCACGGATGGCTAATGGATTGCCACGGACTGTGGCATAACCTGATTCTCATACTGCCGTCTGCTCTCTTCCTCATATACTTGGCTTCTCAAGCGAAGAAGAACTATCCGAAGATTTTGAATGGACGATCGCATATCATAACCGCACTCTACGGATTTCTCTGGCTCGTCAGCATCCTTAATCTGGCCTGGTGCTCACTTCAGGTTCTCTCTCTCTCTCTCTTTTGGTACCTAATCTTACTGTTATATTGTAGGTTGGGGTTTGGTAAATGTAGTGGTGATAGTCATCTGTATTGTAGAGGAAGGTGTCCATTGAAATCTCCTGCCATTATTATTTTCTAGACCAAAACAGTCAGTTTTCTCTGTTTCATTAAAGAAGAAAAGAAAATGATAGAGAGTCATAGAGGGAACTAGTGGTTTTGAGCTACATAAAATGGAGATTAATAGAGGAAACATCAAGGAAGCCAATAAAAGAATAGGAAGGAAGTGTAACCATGGAAGAACTCAATCCAATACCCATCCAAATTTCAATTAAACTTACTTTCAACAACATGTGTTTGTCTAGAACTAGAAGGATTCTTGCTTGATGTTCAAGCTCAATTCACCAGACTTTTGCAACCGTGCCACTTACCAGACTTCCAAACAAATTTCCTCAGTTCGCTTCAATCTAAAAAGAAAGAAGCCATCAGCATTCTTCTTGTACCAAACAATCCAAATCTATATCTGTTGCAAAAGGCCGGTGCTATTAATAGAAGAAGAATTTACACAACTCACAACACTGGGGAGAAAGAATCTTAGTGGGTTTGTTGTTGCAGTCAGCTGCTAGTATTAACTGTCAAGTTAGACCAAAGACCAAGCACAGGCTTTTATTAAGCTGATAAAAGAGGGCAATTGGGAAACACTAAAAACTTGACTGATGAGAGCGTGCATCCAATAAAGTATAGAAGTGAAAGTGACTGGTGCAATTTAAATCGTAAGGAAGATGTGAAGATAAATGTCAGAAACAATTGAAAATATTTTACTAGTCTGATTAGTTGGTTTAATCATCCTGGACAATGAAAGAGTGCCATATAATAACTTATTATTAACTTGAAGTGAAGTGTTATTACTTGTATTAAAAAAACAATTTAACAGATATAGGATATAGTCATGGTACTTATGGAGTGACTCATGACAAACTATTCATCTTGTCTTTTGTCGCATATAAGAATTGGTGTACCTACAAAGTTTTGCTCTTATAAATTTCATGGCCATGCAATTCTTCTGTGATTCGTGGAAGAGAATTATCCATGATGAGCCCAAAAAGGTCTATTAATTCATTGCCCTCATTTATTTCTTCTGCATCTGTTTTATGGCCTTTGGTTATGTCTTCTTTTAAAGTTAGCCATTGGGTTAGAACTATTTTCTTCACATACCAGACCTCAAAGAGATTTTCTTTGAATTCTTATTGAAAATGGCATGCAACCATGGTCCATGGATAGCAAAGCCTCATTTCTTCTGATTTCCATTGTGGCACATTGGTGATTGAACATTTAGTCAAACCATTTGCACTTTTTTTTTTCCTGCTTAACTGTTAGAATTTAGTAACTTTTACTTGAATCCGCATGTACTACAAGTAAGCTTGTTTATGCACATGTGCCCCCCCCCCCCCCCCCCCCGCCCCACCCAACACACACACACACATATATTAACTACTTGAAATAGATGGTTTGATCAGGTATGGGAGTGCAGTGGTGGAAAACAGTTAGCTTGGAATATATTGTCCTTGCTTACTACATCTGGGATGATGTTTCTTGAAGTAAGCTTGATTGCCTTTTTTACTTCAAGGCAATTATTCAAGTGGGCAAGAAGCTCTAACTCGAACTTTTCTCATCTCGGGTCTCGTTGTTGGTCTGGATATGTTTCTTAAGGTACCAAATAGTGACAAACTGTATTTATCCATTCTTACTTTCATGTTTCCGTTACCATGATAAGCTATTGCTTCCATCAAATTTATCTCTGAAAATCTGACTTGATTCTCGCTTGCCTTGAGAAGTTACCACTAGTTGAGTGAGAAATATCATAGAACTTCCCATCTGTAGGAAAGATCACCGATTCAGGGAATATGTTGTGATGATCTACTGTTGATTACAGTTATCTTTTGAACTATCTCTATGTTTCTCAAATTCTTCAACTTTTTGTTATATACTATAAAACATGTATTTGTTGGCTTTGACTTCATTTTGCCGTGCCTGACTGCATGATATGATGGCAATTTACATATTTGGCTTCGGCATTCAACTCTTTACTCTTGAGAACAATGGGTCGCAGTGGGGCTTGTGGGTTCTTCACAAGTTACTGCTTACTGAAGCTTATGGCTTAATTTTTTTTTTTTTATGTATCGCAGTAGATGGAGAGAGAGGCTACCAGGTGAGCTTCTGCTAGGAAATTTCTTGTCACCATTTCTCTAATGCTGCAACTGAAGCTAAGCTATTATTACAATTGTGTTTTGCAGCAAGGCCTGCATTCTACAACTATGTAAGCATCCTGCTTGGCATAAATGTGGCTACTTTATTCACTTGTGCACTTGCTGCAAATGGTGCTGGATTTGGGGTCTGGTATGTTTCCTTGTGTAACTTCCCATAAGTTTTGTAGCATGTCAAATTTGCAACAAGCCATTTACTTACTCCCCGAGTCTCGATTATTTTGTTGGGCAAAAAGTTTTACGAAATCCACTTCCTCTGTCAGTAGTCAATAAAGTGGTTTGTCAACATTTTACACCTAGTTCATGGTTGCTGCTTTTATTCATCTGTTGTCCAGGTTGTATAACATCATGGTCATTTTCTACCACGCCTTCTACCTCCCTCTTCTATATGTGACCTTCCTGGCCAGGTGAAAATCATTTATTATTTATTCCATCTCTAAATCTAAACCGCTCAATATTACTGCCCAAGTTTCTTTCCAGTACTTACCCATAAGTGCCTTTTTTTTGTTGTGCCTGCCTGCAGGAGGAACATATGAATTTGGAGAATGCGTATTACTCAGAGATGAAGGATGCCGGCTTCTTTGATATTGATTGGGAGGATAACATGGCAACTACTCCCTAGTCCCTAATCAACTTTCAAGTTTGTAAATGTGTAAATATTTTTGTTTGGAGAATAAAACATTCTAATTGTATTGTCATTTTTCAAGGATGTTTTCCATTAATAAACTTGTTTAGAAATGCTTAGGGTATGTTTGATTCGCACATAAAAATCAAAGTCGGAATGGTAATGGATTTTGATGAAAGTATTTTGTATGGTAATAGGGTGGAATTGGAATGATTATCAATATTGATGTTTGCTTATATATAATCCTATAATGAGAATAAAAGTTTTAAAAGTACAATAACAAAAAATCAAGACAATTTATTTTAATATAAAGACATCCAAAGCATCAATTTTAACAACAAAAAAAAAAATCTAAAAACAATAATCCAAACTTAAAAATCAAATTACCAATTAGGAGAGAAATAATGGAATGAAACTCCCAAAGTATTCTAGAAACTTGTTAACCAAACAATAACAATGCCTTTGATTCCCATTCATGATAACTAAATCCATGAACCAAACACACATGTTACATGGGGGGTTGGTATCATTGCAAGGAATAAAGCTACATTTTCACAAAACATTAAACTCCTCGTGCCCATGAATGGAAGGAAGCATTTGTTATGTTCCCCCACAAGAACCCACCCTTATTAGGAGTTGTAGGATACATGTTTTAGCACAAGTAATTATTAAATGACTAAATTGGGATTTATTGAAATCAAGCTAACTCTAAGGATCAAACTTAATAGGTGAAAATTCAGCCAACTAACAAATCAACAAGCATGTCCACACTGCGAAGAAGTCATATTGTGCTGAATTGACAAGATAGAGGAAACAATGATTAAGAAACCAAGACAGACTAAGGGGGTGTATTCAATCATGACTTTCATATAGTTTTAAAGATTTTTATGAACTTTAAAAGTTTGGAGGTATTCAACTCAAACTTTTAGAGAGCCTTTAAAAGTCAGGCGATATTCAATCAAGATTTTTAAAGAGTCTTTAAAAGTCGTGTGGTATTCGATTAAGACTTTTAAAGAGTCTTTAAAAGTCATGTGGTATTCAAAAAGTTATGAAGACTTTTTAATTTTAAGACTTTTGTAAACTTTTTCTTCTCAAATATAAATAGTTGAAATCCAACCATCAACTCCAAGATTTCAAAATTTTCTTTCTTACAACTTTGAATGTTTTCTCTCCCTATTAAAACTCTATTTTTTCTCCCTATTTAAACTTTATAAACCTATCTAAATTCAATAAAATTATTATTTTTCTTCATTATCCTATATTTTCCTTATACCTAAACTCTACTAATCTCTCTCTGTCTCTCCCTCTCCTAAACTTTACAATCTTCATCTAAAAATTTGAAATAATATTATTTTTACTTCATTATTGCTTGTTTATATTAATTTTTATTTTTTCTATGAATTTTTTATCTCTAACTTTCTCTAATTCCCTCTAAATACATGAACAAAGCAAATTTTTCATT